ATGTACATTTCAAATTTTCCTTGCTGTCATTTCTCAAAGGAAAGTTCATATTTACCTCTTTGGTGCCTGTATGTATATATTGACTTTGCACACAAATATATAAATGTATGTGTGTGTGTATGCATATGTATCAGTGGATGTAGGCACGCACACACTTGCAGCTTTTAGGAGGCATCCTATTCGTCCAGCACGGTTGCTGTGGTGTATCTGCTTCTGACAGGTGGGTGTTTATATGTTGAGGCCAAGGAGCTTGGGTAGTACTTTTAGCTCTAGCATCAGTCTGCTAGGTTGCCCTGGACCTATCTTTCTCCCTCTGAGCTTTATTTCCGACATTTATAATTTCCTTTTTTTGTGCACTGCTTTTCGATCAGCTGTTGAAATGTGATTATATGAAACCCAGTAATTGTTATCATATAATTTATTTTCCCACTGTGTTTACGCGTAGAGGGTTAGTCAATAAATCAGTCTGAAATTGATCATAAATACTTACCTTTAGCTTATATTCCTGAGCACTGGAAAACAGCAAATAGTTCAGGAGTTATTAGTATATTCTAATAGGCAATTATTTGCTAGGACAGCAAAATCAAACTCCTGTCTGACCTGCACTGAGGCTGAATTTGACATCAGCTGTAGGATTCCTCTCACCGAACTTCAGCTGTGTTAGTGTCAGTCTAGGCTTCTTCTACTGCAGATGGAGAAAAACTAAACCCTTGGGAGTGCACTTCTTCCCTCCTCTTTTAAGAACAAAACGTCCTCCATTATCTCTCTCCCTGGACTGCAGAGGAGGCTGTGTGCCTGGCTTACACTAGACTCCTAACTTTTAATGAACTGATGTAGGTGACAGACATCCCATCCCTTCAGTCTTATGCAGTTAACTACAGCACGGTTTGGTGCCTGGCAGCTTTAGAAACATTTTCTGAAGAAGATAAAGCCCTCAAAGTAACCTTGGCTAGAAATATTGATAAAACTTGAGTGTCATAAAATTGATGTTAGGTATCTCATTAAGCACTAAAAGTAATTTAGGGTGATATAAGAATCTATATGAAACAAATATTGGACTTCGTAAAGAAACATTAAAGGTTTGATGAAGTAGCATTGGTAGTTTGGAGAATGAGGTGCAAAGAGACTTCTGATTTAATCTGTGGCTGAGGTAGGTTTCTCATCATAATTAAAGACATGATCTGTTGTCACCAGTACTTATGGGATCTTTCCTAGAAACAGCTAAGACCCCAAAAAAGTCTGAAGTGACCCATTTAGAACCATTCTAGATTTTAAATTTTTTTTAGTAATTTTTATGAATCAAAAATTCTGGAAAAATTAGGGATATCCATGTGAAGTTAATGTTTCTCTCTCCCCCTGCACCCTTCCCTCACATTTCCAAGCAGAATCCCAGCTCCCAGTGCAGGGGGAGAGGTGGCTTTTGCTTGGATGTTTTGAAACTGTCTCCTTATAGAATAAGCTTTAAATTCACCCTTTGAGGAGGGGAAGGTTTGAAGTATTCCATAGCATTACAGTGACATTTGCTGGCATGTTCTAAGGAACTGGTCACCAGTCTCATTGAAATATTTTTTCTCAGTGGGATTCACACTGTTCATTTGCTCAGTTCTTTGGCAGCTTGTACTGTTTGGTAATAACAAGGTGATGATCAGTCAGGTAGAATTCCTGTCCCCACTGAAATCAATAGCAAAATTCCCGCAGACTTCAGTGGAACAAGCAGCTTGAGAATCCTAATATTTTATGCTCTACTCTGCTTGTTTAAAAACTCCCAATTTCCTTGTTTGAAATGGACCATCTTTTTTACTAGGGCTACAAACAGTATATTGCTTTTCTGTTTCCAAAGCAAACGTATCTGTTCTTGTTTCCAAGGAAGATATCTTTGTACTTATTAACCATGACCCATCCATACATTTTGGAAAGAACAGCATCTGTCATTAAGACCCAGGATGATCAAGTGGATTGGGACAGATTTCATACTAAGTCTACACTGGCAGAGCCTTGCAGGTTCAAGACCAGGCCTACAGCTTCTAATGAAACTTCAGATATAGAAAAACTGAAATTATACCATGGGCTGAAATACAATTACTTGCCCATAACAATTGAAACACAATACGCTCACACATAGCAAAAGGTCCTTCTACATCCTAAGAATCTGTTTTACGAAAGAAATTACTTCTGAAAGCTGGGACTGAGAAGAATGGAAAAAGTTTTCAAGGTAAAACTGCTGAATGTGCTGAGTGGGCAGATAGGAACTACTAGACATGAGGGGTGTCGTGGTTTAACCCCGAAACCAGGACAGGGGTTCCCAAGGCTCTCATCGTTGAGAGTCTTACTCCCTGTATTGTTTAATCCCATTCAACAGTTACAAGCAGGTTGGCAAAGTTACAATGATAATATAAAAAAATAGTAAGATCTTAAAAATTCTGTGGAATGGGTGCCCCAAATTTGTGTCACTGCTAACAAAAAAGCTGCACCTCATTAGAGAGCCTACACAGCATGCTGGTACAGCTGTCTCAGCCATGGGAAAAGACGTGACCTAAACCCATGTATTAAGAGACACAAGATAATTTGGTCATAAGACACAAAACTGCAGCGAGTCTGCTTCATTCATTCCTCTTCTCACAGAGCTGCTTCTTTGCATTGTGTGTGCAGATGTACAGACGTCTCACGGTCCCAGATGGACACAGGAAGCTTTAGCAAGAACAGTCGCACAGCTGTGTGACGTGTAAAGATCTACTGTACATCAGCCAGCAGAACTATAGGTTTGCAAAGCAGATACCTCTGGAAGATTTGCAATGTCTGTCTGGACCATATCTTTTCTCTGGTCAGCGTGTACAAGAGAGCAGAATCCCATCTTGGAAGAGAAGTAGGAAGGGAAATAAAAAAAGGGAAATGGGAAACAGAAAAAGTAAATTTTGAAAATAAACCTGAGAAGGGGCCTCACTGGGTTGAGGAACTTTGTGGCTAGTTAGGCACTGACTTCAGTGGATATAAGGCCATGCTTGAAGAATCACAGACCCATGGAGGTTGGAAGGGACCCCCAAAGGTCTCCAGTCTGACCTCCTGAATCAAGCAGATCCCATTGGAGCAGGTTGCTCAGGGCCTTGCCTAGGATGGGTTTGGACACCTTCAAGGATGGGGACTCCACAGCTTCTCTTGGTGCCTGTTCCAATGTCCAGCCATCCCCATGGTAAAAAAACTTTTCCTCATTTTGAGTAGGAATTTGATGTTGCAACTTGCTTTCCTTATTATATACTGCAATAAGATCCTCCCAAGTCTTCTCTTCCTAAGGGTGAACAAATGCAGTTCTCAGCCTCTCCTCATGCGTCCTGTGCTCCGGTCCCCTGACCGTCTTGTTGGCCCTGCGTTAGATTCACTTCAGTGTGTCCTTGTCTGTCTCATACTAGGAGCCCAAAACAATCCTCCAGGCATGGTCTCACAAACACAAGGAGAAGGCAAGAATCATTTGCCCCAGCCTGCTGCCTACACTCTTGCTAATACAGCCCAGCATTTGGTTGATGAGGGATGCACTGCCCATGTACTCATGTACTCATGTTGGAGTTGTGCATTGGGACCCTCAGGACTTTTTCTGCAAAGCCAGTTTGTATGTAGCAAGTTTTTGCCCAGCCTGTCCTGCTACATGGGCTTGTTCCATCCCAGACATGGGACTTTTCATTTGGCTTTTTTGTACTCCCTGAGGTTTCTCTCAGCCCATTTCTCCAGCCTGTCTAGGTGACTCCAAATAGCAGCCTTGTCCAGCGGTGTAGTGACTGTTGCCCCCAGTCTGGTGTTATGTGCAAACTTGCAGAGAGTGCAAAGGAACCATATGACAAAGTTCTTCATTGAGATAGGTTGTCTTCTCACTGAAAGGACTTTACATCTTGTGAGCAGGATGTGAGAAGTTGCAAGCACAAGCAGCTTCATATTATGAGCTTATAAATAACATTCTGGTGAGAAATAGCTCTCTCAAGGTCACTACAGATAGTCCTCTACTGCAGGGTGAAGTTAGTACCACTTTATCATGAGTCCATCACTGGATAGAGCAATGGAGGACAATTTCTTAAATCTTACTCTTTGGACTGTGTTTCAGGATGGGTCAGACTTAAGTATATAGACTGGGGGAGGGAGGGGAAACTGTGTATCATACGTCTGGGACAGATCAGCCATGTGAGACAGTCTTTAACCATTGAAGTAGATTTCACAATCTGAGTATAGGAGAGGAGTTTGTTTTCCTTTAGCTGGTCTCCTCTCCATCAGATGATTTCCAGTCTGATGTCACACCTGCATGATTTGTGTAACGTATTCATTTTAGAGTTATTAGCTTCATTTTTTGCTACCTGTTGGTTTTATGCACCGAGTTTTTAACCCTTGGGATGTTGCCAGAACTGCCAAATTGTTCCCCTATTGTATGTTCACACTGACATTTCTTAGTATCTTCTGTCCCTTCATGGAAGGTTGTGGGAGTCCAGTAGCAATTCCCAAATCCCTAAAAAGTGATTAGCAATTATTGTTCTGTAAGTGCTTAATAGGGAGATTAAGACAGGCCACCAGGTGTTTATGCAATAACACTCTAGCATGGAAATTCAGCTCTAGCTATTACAGGGTGTAAAGAGGGTAAATGCCTGCCCTCAGAGAGACCAGCAATTATTTTGATGCTTGTATTATATCCTGTTTTCTCTAGCAGGTTGTGCAGTTCTATTATTTTTGAACCTTTCATTACTGATATGGGTTTATCTGTGTTTATAGTAGTGGGATTGATCTGTAACTGCAAGATCAGTTTCTGTTAAAGGTATTTTTCTTGCACAATCAGTAAGTTGCAAAGCCGCATTTTTAGTCCGCCTCTTTGTATCTAACATGTCATATTTGTATACAGCAACAATGGAAGCGGGCTACGCTTCATATTGCAGGTTTGAAATAAGTGATAGTGAAATAGCTTAGGAGCAGAGCAAATGCTCTTCTGTAGCAAATCGTATCATTCACAGTGTCTTTTTTTTCTGTTTCAGGAGGTTGGAAGCATTATCGGAAAGGTCAGGAAATTACTTTTTCTCTTTATTTTCATGTCAAAATATTGTATATCAGTTCACTTCATCAGCCCAGGCTAATTTTTTTTTTTTTTTCTGTTTCTTTAACAGAAAGGTGAGACAGTTAAGAAGATGAGGGAGGAGGTAAGACAATCCTTGATGTCTTTACTTGCCTTTCTTTCCAGCTCAGAGAACAGGGAAATTCAGTGCGCACAGACCGATACTGCCATCAAGTGGGCAGTTAATTTAACATCACCATTCTTTGCAAGTGGTGGTGTATAAGTGTGCTGGCCTAAATTAAACATTGTTGTTAATGTAACCTCCTTATCGCCACAGCAGTCTGGAGTCTTTCATTCCCATAGCAATATGCCTGCTGCTGTCTTATCTCAGGAACAGCTTAGCCAGCGTGATTCTGTGCATCAAAACCACTGTATCTTTCTTTAGCATACCAACATCGGTCCTGCATGTCGCTTGGCTTCCTGGTAGAGAGCTTCCAAAATCTGAAACCAAGCATTAGACTGATGCTACATAAAGTTTGAGGGTAGACACAAGCTTCAGCAGACCTGGAGCCAGACTTGCATAAGCCAAAGTATCCCTCTGCCATGTCTTGGCAAAGCCTTAACTTTTCATCGTTTCGCAGCTGTGAGTAGGATGTGGGCAGGGTAGACCCACACACCCACCATTCACATCCTTTGAAAAGGTTGTAAACACAAAAAGGCTAATTAAAACATGGCACTGCATAAACTTCAGTCTCCCCAGTGTCAGCAGGCTTCTTTCCCTGCTGCACAGCAAGCTGCACTGTCTTCAGAGGATTGTGCCCAGGTGGAGGTTACAGACCCACACTTGTCCTGCAAGGCAGCACATCTTACCTGGAGATCCATGTAATTTTCCTTCTTTGAAGCAAGTGCTAAAAGCATAAGTCAAAAGACAAATCCTACCGTTTAAAACTTTAGGAGTGCAAAGCGTATTATAGAGGATGCCTCAAGACAAGTCAATTTGGTTCTGATAAATCTGCAGTACCTTACTATGTCATCTGCTTTGTTGTTTTATACACTGATAGAAGGTCGGTGGCAGGGAAATTTCAAAGTATTTGTAGTAAAGAAAATTGCTGAGATACATCTTTAAATATACACAATAGGGAGTTCATTGTCAGGCTGACTGAGTTCAGAGCTCCTTTTTTGATGATAAGAGCTTTCACCCATGTTTTCACTCATAAGTTCATTTGCTAAGGCTTAAAAAAAATAAAGAAAAAAGATGTTTCCAATATACTGGGTAATCCTGCCAGTTGATTAAACACATTGTAGTTTAATTATTAATTATGACCACAGGCAGATATCTTTGGATATAAATTGCACATGCAAAAGGGAAGCCATCACTGGAGAGTGCTCCTGACTTCTGAGTTAAACTTCTTAGAGAAGAGTTATGATCCCTGATTAGTTTTTCAAGATAAATAACAAATATTCTTCTTCCATCCCTGAAAACCTACCATCACATACACGTGGTCACAAGAGGCTTTATTTGGTTGTTTGTTTTTTTTAACAAATTATATCCATCTTTATATCAGCACAGGACTAAGAGGCTGTGTCTCCATGTGATGTTAACTCATTCCTTCTTTTAAATAACTGTTTCAGTACTTCTTTAAAAGCAAAACACAACTTTATTTTGACTTTCCTGACAGATGTGGCAAGTTGCATGCCATCTTTATGGAATGAAATGCAACTTTGTCTTGCTCTGTCAGAACAAGAAATGTCAGAGACAACTTCGGGCCTAAAGAAAAGTACAAAAACCTTGGTTCTGTGCCCTGCGGTTGTTGACTTCCTACACAAATACGGAAGCTGCCACATAACATTTTAATTGCCGTAGCTCTGCTTTGACTGGTCATCTATCAGAGGAGTAACATCTGTGAATTTTGGCCGCCGCCGATCCACAGTGGAGCGATCTTTCAGACATGCTCCCATGGCTCTGGTTTCAAAGGAAGAGCCGTGCTTTGCACGAAGGCGGCCGTGGGACGGGCAGGCCTGCCTGCTGCGGGCAGCTCTGCCCAGCACGGCACCTGGCGCGCTCCCTGCTGGGCTGAGTCCCACGGCCCCGGGTTCGCGTGTGCTGGCAGCAGCCAGACGTTGCCACCAGCATGAACGAGCCCCTGGCCCTCATCTCCTTCCTCAACCGGTGCCGGAGTTTGATGAGGGCAAGTCCCACTCAGGTTGACCTGTCAGAAAAAGTGTCTGCTGCCCTTTCTTACCTATGAACGCTGAGTTTGTCTGCCAGCCGAGTCTGTGGCAGCAAGATTTTTGTATCAGTAGCGCTGGGGGCTTTTTTTGTTGTTGTTGTGTTCGGTTGCTGTCATACGGGGAAATAAGATAGCTTGCTGTTGAGCAGCAGCATGCACGTGAATAAGGGCTCAGACACACAGCACATCGGCTGATTTGTGGTAACCCTGAAGGCAAAGGGCCAAATTAACCCAGATTATCTCACATTTGCTACAGGTCCAGATCCTCGAGAGGGTCAGTGCCTGTGAATGAGTTGAGGCTCCAGTGACTTGTTAGACTGCATTAACACATTCCCATGCCTGAAACTTCAGGGAAAGCATAGGGTGGGTCTTACCTGAACTGGCTTTGATCATTATCTACACCAAGATCCTCTTAATTATATTTACATCTAGTTTAGGGGTTTTCTCTGCACTGCCACAGTGGCATAAAGGGGACTAAGTATACCTGAGAGCCATGCTGGCTTGTGTCCAAGACTTAAGGTTTTCTAACTCCTTCCAACAGGCTCCTTGCCTTAAGGAGATAACACCATTGCTGTTGCCTGTCCTACCGCTACTCCTCTAAAGGGTTGTTCAGTGCATATTAATTGACCGCCTTCACATTAGACACATCTATAAGGAACCTGCTCCACAGTGCAAACCAATGCCCCAGCTAGACAGATCGAGCTCTGCCTTTGGGTCTCCAAACCAGAGAGGTGCGTCTTTCCTGGGAGATGTTGGTGCTCCATGGAGACAACCACCTCGTCAGAAATTCTGCAGCTCCTGTCCTACTTAAGGTTAACCCCGCAAAAGGGAAGGGAAAAGACTTGATTATGCAATTATTTGCAACTTTGAGTTACAGAGGTGCTATTTGCATACTGTGATGAAGGCTGTATAAGTATTTACCCAGACAGAATCTGGCTTCCCGCAGCTAGATGAATTTTTGGAGTGTGATCAGTTTATGCTGAAATTATATGATGTTTGGGCTGCAGTTGTAGGGGAGTGAATTAGATGCCTCAAGATATTCCTTCCCAAACTATATCCCTAATCCTACTTAGTTTGCTCCCTGGGAAGTATAAATTTGAAAAATATTTGTTTTTGACAGAGTGGTGCTCGAATCAATATTTCAGAAGGCTCCTGTCCAGAGAGAATTGTGACAATAACAGGCCCAACAGATGCAATTTTTAAAGCTTTTTCTATGATTGCACTAAAATTTGAAGAGGTAAGCAAATAAAATATGTTTTTTTCTCTCTTCAAGTTGAAATACAAACATTGTTTGAATTTTCTCATGTTTGCTTTAATGTTAAATATGATTTGTTTAATGTTCTATTTAATAGCAATGAAAGTGGTTGTATTTTTATAAATGCTTTTGGCAGTAACGCTGAAGAAAAATAATGGGTCAATTTACAAGCTGTTTGATCATTTCTTTTGCTTTTTGGAGGCTTCGGGGAAAAGCAATTGCTTCTAGTAATGTGCACTAATGGTAGGAAAAATGTCTTGGAAAATTTCTGGTCCCATTGTGGGTTTGATTTGAAAAGAATAATTGCCTAACTTTTAGCTCTGTTTTTATATGATTCCATTTGGTATTGATGTAAATTTTATATATGTCAAAATGACTATATAATTCATTCAACTAGAAAAATTTTATTTTAAAAACAAACTATATGATTACCAATTACCATATTTAAAGCTTGGCTTTTAAAATTAATTAAAATAAAGGCACTAAAAGTAAGTGAGGCAAGAGAGTGCTCAATTACTGTAGAATTACCGTTCTGTGCAGATATGAACCTAAAGTGCTGGGATCTCCTCAAGTTTCATGGACCAACTACAATTAGATATGGTCACCACTTAATGGGAAACCTCACAGGAAAGGCAGCAGGCTACAGAACATGAACCCTGGTCACTGAGGAGAGGATTTAACCCCCTCAACTTTTGAAAATCAGATATCCAGTCCAGGCGTCTCTCCTGTCCTCTGTGGAGAGACAAAGGCCCCTGCAGAAGGCAATTTACCTTCTGCTAAAGGAAGAGCCTGCAGATAGGTGGACTGAATCACCTGCAGCAGGAGAAAGGGGCTGTGTCTGTCAATCAGTGATTAAACTAGAGGGATTTGAATCCCTTTCTTAAGAGTACTTATTTCTCCAAGTCTCCACATCTCCCCATAGCACTGGGAGATGCTAGCATTGATGCGAAATGTCAGCGTGTGCCTTTACCCAAGGTGCTTGTTCACATTTAGAGTAACGGGACTGGAAGAGAGCTTGTGGGTCATTGGATGCAGTTGTCTTCTAGCACAAGCAGTATGTCTTGCAATCTTCTTCATAGCATGATCAAAAACTAGTTAGATTTTTTTTTTTCTAGTTCCTGATATTGGGTCCACAACCTCAGTTCTCTGATAATTAGACACCTTCTTTTCACTCCTCACCTAAATTTATTCACAAGCAGTTTATGCAGCTCTGTTCCTGTGCCAGCACTGACCACTAGTTGAAACAATTCTTGCCTTTCCATCCCTGAGGATTCACCTCTTAGGCATGTTTTTAGAAACCAGTTTTATCCCCTCACACCCTTGCTTTTGCCAGAGTAAGTGAGCCAAGCTCAATCTTTCAGAGGATGTGTTCCCCACCCCTCTCGTGACTCTAGTAGTCCCTTTCTACCATTTCCCAGTTACAGTTTGTATTAAATGTATGTGTTAATTGTGGACAGGTTGCAAATGAAGTCCCACAAGGGCTTGATGTAATGGCACTAACTGTCCCCTGTCCTGGCTATCACGCTAACATGTCTCTACCGCTGCTGGAAATGCCTCACCTCCTGCTAGTGTGATGTTTTGCACACAACCGTGCTGTGCCTGGCAGGTATCCCCAGCTTCCACTCAGGTGTTTTCAGTGGGAACCTCTTCGGTCTCGGCAGACGTTCCTGTCAGCCCCCAGACAAATGACCCTTTTTTTTATACTGCAGATGTTAATCCCATTTATATTTCTCCAATCCTTCGTGGGTTTTCAGATGTTCCTGTGTGATATTCCAATCTTTCAATATGTTGATAAAGTACCCTGGTTTTGTGGTATGGTATATTTTATAAGAATGCTATTTTTTTTTTCCTTACCAGTTATTAATGAGATGATAATGATTTTGAGGTTGAATCCTGCAGAACCACACAAGTAATTCTCTCCAGCCCAATTTCAAAACCATCTGTTGTCATCTCCTTCTCAGCTTTATCTCCTACCCATCTTGTACCAATCCCTGTTTCTCCCAGCTTATGAGGCAGCTTCACGTATGCTACCATACCCTCCGATCCACGGAGATCTGGAGAGCACAGTCTCTCTCCTTAAGGCCTTATCCTGAAAACTGCTGAGGGAATCATTAACAGAGATAATCCCTGCCAGTTCCCACCAAAACAAGTACCCAGTGAAAATAACACTGCATTTCTCATAAAAAGGTCAAACGCTGCACAGCATCAGATCCCCACCCCACCACCCAACACCACATTGTCTTTGAAAGTGCTGTAGCTAGCAGTAGGCAAAGAAATCTGAAATTCAGGCATCTGACTGGATTTTATGCACATTTACCCTTGTAGATTTTAGAAGGTATTCTGGGGTCTTCATGTGGATATTAGCAAAGGGGTATTGGCACTCCCTGCAGATAAGGTACTGCGGTTATATTCCGAAATATCTGTATTTACTTTTGATATAATTGGCTTCTGGTATATTTAAAAGAACAGTGGTAAAGAAAAATGTCTCATATAATCAGTTAGGTTTCCTATAATTATTCCTGTCAATAAAATGGGGTAACTGTAACACTTTGGAGGCAAAATAAAGTACTGTTTCAGAAATTACAAATGAGCTAGCTACCAAATGTTATTTTTCATGCATATCTTTTTGTGGAGATTTCTTCAGCCATTTAAAACATTGAAAATCCCAGAGCAGACAGTGCCTGGCCCAGCTCTGGTTATCTCAACTACCTTCAAACAGAATAAAAAAGATGCATGTGTGAGAATGATGGTTTGAGGGATTTTTTGGTATTTGTTATGCATGCCACATGAAGCATTTTGACATGAAGCTCTTGAACCCTTAATTTCAACTCTACAGTTGTATAGGTGGGGATAAGCAGGTCTAGGAAGACATGGGAGCCCTCGACTGCTTTTCTAATGTTAGCAAAAATCTCAAAATGTGTCAGATAGATAGAAAAAAAAGAAAGATCTGGAGGACTGTTCTCTGTGCGGTTGCTCTGCAGCCTTATATTGCTCTGCTTTGACAACCTTCCTAATAAAAGTTGATTTTCTAGCAGCCTGATGATGAATTTAGAAGCTAGGTCGGTAATTATGTAAACAACTAAAGTATTCACTGCAGAGGAAAAAGAGACTTGTTAAAAAATGGCACTAACCCAGGCAGACCACTGGAGTTGCAAGAGAGGACATTTTAGAGCAGTGATTTCCAGACTGGAGGCTGAGACATGAGAAATGCAGCTGTAAGTTCACTGGTGAGTGGGGCAGCTCTGCTTTTGGGTATAAATATGCGTAATCCACTGGAAGCACGCGATAGTCAAGTGCTGGAAAAAACAGCAAGCAGAGCTCAGTGGTCAGACCTCCTCCAAATACATAAGAATTTGCAAACATTTATGAACAAATTGCTCGGCTCTAGGAATAAGGAGGAGAGAAAGACAAGGTGATAAAAGCAATTGAGATGATGCCTTTTTGACAAATACTAACTCCTGCTGCTACAACTAAGGTAAATCCTGTGGTGGCCGTTACTAAGTGAGTAGCCACCTCACAGACTCGTACTTGCTGTGGAAATTGGCAGGTTTAACATTTCATTTAGAAACGAGTAAAGAAGAATTTTGATATGTTTTTCCCTGGAGGTTTGGTAGATTTCTGAGCTGCCAGGTTTGCTTGCCTTGGGAAGCCTTAGACGCTGTGACTCTGGGATGCCAGGAGCCTAGGGGTGCTGCAAGGCTTCAACACCGGGAGCTGGCCCTCCCACCACTTCCAGGCTCCCAGTTAGCCCGTCCTGGCTGAGGATCAGCCCAGGCAAGTGCGCAGAAAGCCAGGCAAGGTCCGGCTTTAGTGTCTGCCAGAGCCCTGAGGAAATGGATGCAGTGCCACAGAAAGAGGTTAAAGAAATGAGTCTCCCAGTTTGAAAGGCGACTGTTCTGTGAGAAAGTCTCCAGCCAGCCCTACTTGGGGGCCTGCAGTTCTGGAGGGGATTTTTTTCCTACTCATTTCTCATTTGTTGTGTTTTTAAGCTGGACTAATTCCTTTATGCACTCCACGCTGCTGACCCTGCATATTTAGGATTTGCTCTTTTTAAATGAGGAAAAGAAAATAAAGAGAATAGCGGCTTCCAATTTTTGTGAAGTGCTCTTGAAGGCATTAAGTGCAGTGAAGGCTTTGAGGCCAGGCCACATATGATATGGAAGTGGGAGACATTATCAGGGTCATGCTGAGTGGCTGAAGAGGGTTATTTACCTACATCTGGATGATTGTGTGCCTCCACCTGACACAAACATGATATAGCGAGATGGCATCTTCCAGCTGAAAAACTGGCATGACGTGCGCTTTATTTCAGATACACAGGTCCTGCAAAATTCCGTTCTCCCTCTTGTTTTACTTTGGATTGCAATCTCTCACTGACACGGGCACTAAACAAAATATGAGTTACTGGCTGGCAGAGGAATGATTTGATAGCTGTCTTGTGGCATGCAGCAATGCCTCATTCCGTTCAAGATTTTTTTTCTTCTTTTTTAAGCTAAGCAAGGTCACACTGAGCCATTTCTTGGACGGAAGAATACTGCCATCGCAAATGCAGAGGTACTGCAGGAATCAGTGCTGGTGTCACTGAGCTCCCGCACCGGTTCAACAAGGCATGCAGAGTTGTTTAAAGTTTTTAATTTTTTTTTAATTTTGGGTCCTGATCACACAGTATAGGCACTTTTTTTTTTTTTTTTTTTAAAAAAGTTTTTAACAAGTGGTAGTCTTGATAAGCAAGAATGTGGGGAAACACATCAGTTCTGTCTGCTGGAACTCTTGTTGCGTCGTAAATGAGTTAAATGAATATGAAATGCATGTTTTCTGTTGTTCCTGTCCTAATCTTTTGAGTAGCATTTCTATGAAGGGTGTAATAGCTGTGCCATGCCACCTCACAGATGGATGAGATGGTCTTTTCAGCTCGCAGCTAGTGTTAGCAAACCACATTGAGATTCTGATGAGTTGTTGAACAGGTGCTATGCAGCTTGTGGCTTTTTTTTTTGTGATTCTAAGTGCTCTCAACAGCATCGCATCGATCAGTGGGAAGATAAGCTTTATCTTTTCCTCCGTGATGAAGACATTAGAGGGATTGTTTTGTCTTGCCTAGAAGATTTTGTACTAGCAAGATCTATTTAAAACAGTGTAAACCTTGCAACAAGTAGTATATTGAAATGCTCATGAAAACCTGCAGTGTAGTCTCATGGGATACACGTGTATCTCAATGAGATACACGGATACAGGTTACGTTACCTGGATATGGATAATTGCTGCTCCGCTGAGCTCTTTGTATTCTGGTTACATAGCTGTGATGGAAAAGATTTTAGAAATTACGTAACACTACAAATACTTATGGATCTGCTACAAAAGAGAAATTAAACCTGGGGGGCAGCAAAATACTTATCAAAATAATCTGTTTTTTTCTGCTTCAGATTATTCACATATTCGTTGTCATCCCCTTTTTTAACCTTTTTTCTTTGTATCAAACCTGACATGAAATTGTGTAAAATGTAAAGACATCATTTAGTAGAAGTGTTCTAATTGAGATGGTGGAAAAGAGACCAAATCAGGATTTCGGGGCCCGGGAACTCAAAAGCCTCTTTGTCTTTTCCATCTGCTTCGGCTGGTCTAATGATAGATACCACCTCCTCTTTCACCTAATCTTGCCTCAGAGACTGTCCTCTGGTCCCGCAGCGTGGACCCTCAACGCCAGACTGCAAAAGGGTTCCTCCGGCACAAGCTGCTTGTGCGGTTCGTGCTTACGGCATATCACCGGCAGAGCCGGCGGCTTTACCTGCCACAGAAACAAGCCACGACAGGTTGCACGTTCCCCAGGTCTCCACGAACAGCTCGGGCTTTTGCTCTGAGCCCTTCAGTGCTTACCAGGAATGACAAATCCTCCACTAATTCTTACTGACGTTGTGATTACAGGACATAAACGCTTCAATGACAAACAGCACGGTGACAAGCAAACCGCCTGTAACACTGCGACTCGTCGTCCCGGCAAGTCAGTGTGGATCCCTTATAGGAAAAGGAGGTTCCAAAATCAAAGAAATCAGGGAGGTAAGTCTTGGGATGTCTGCCGGGAACACTGGCTAGCTCGGCATCCTACCGCAGCGTGCCCTGCCACCATCGGCCGCTGCACTTTGCCCATGGCACGAACGCAAGCACGTGCTGAGTGAAAAGCCTGGAAAAGCCTTGCTCTGGGGGAATCAGGGGTCCAGCACAGCTGTACCCTTCTACCTTCCCTGAAGCTAAAGACCGTGTGTGAAATAAAGAAACAGCTTTACAACATATTGTAAATGCACGATTTAGCAAAGCAACGGTTTAGTGACAGAAATGGCTCGTCTAGTTTCCCTTCACGCACAGCCCCCTCCCCAGCAATACTCAGGTGATCCCAAGTTGGACCATTGCAGCCATTTCCAAATTAGCTACCACGCTTGCAGCCAGAGAAAGGCCCAAGTAGCACTGGGGAGTCCAGGTTGGTAGATCAAATGCTTGATCTACTTTTTAGAAAAAATTTATTTTCATACTCCTTTCCTGTTTCTCCCTAATCTCACTGTGCCACAGGTGACCTGATTTCATGTATTCCAAACCCATATTGACTTTTTTTAATCCAGACTTTATCTAAAGGTATTCATTCAATGTGCTGTGCTAGCAGCCACTTTTTCCTTTAACCAGAAAATGCAAAAATTATCATACGGTACCAGTTTTAATTCTTCTATGCATGACTGTAACAACATAGCACATGGCAAGCCAAGGATCCAATGTTTGTAATCAGTCAGACAAGAAAATTACGTACATACTCAGTTATGTAGAGAAAATCTGGATAGGACATTTTGGAAAAATGCATTTCTGTTCTGGATAAAGTGACAGTACTCCTTCTAAATTTGTATTCATTCCAACATGGGATGAGGTGTTGAATATCAAGATAACACGCTGATCAATTTTTTTCATTTTACTATATCAAAACAGAAGCTTTTGACAGGCTTTACCAAAGTGAAACTTCCTTTTTTTGTCTAAAATGTCGATTCGAGACTCTAGGTTTCAGTGAACTTTTACGTTTCATTTCAAATGTGACAAAAAGTTAACAGATATTTTTCTAACAAAGAAAATTTGATCAAATGTCAAAAAGGAGTGGAAAATCCTTTGAACAAAATTCTAGATCCAGCATTTGCTATGAAATGTTAGTTTATGGTAGCCTTGGAAGGAAAGGTGAGGATAGAGGATAGTTAAGGGTCTCATCCTGTTGACTTTCAAGTTCTTCCAAATTATTTCATTTCGATTCCAATTCGATTGTCCCAGGAGTTTTTTTAACAAAATTCCCTCTGAAGGCTTATCTTCACCTTTTGGGATTTGGCCGCTACTAAAAGGGTCTTTTCTCTCCTTGCATACAGGGAAGTAAAAGCAGCGTGTACCACTTCCATTAGCTGACAGAGCTTCCAAAAACTGTTCCAGAGTTTTTGTTGCCAAGCAAAAAACCTGTTGTTCCTCCATGTGCCTCTTGCTTTGTAAACTGCGTTCATGAAAACACGCATAGGTTGCGTGCTGTAAACTCACAGAAAAACAATTCAGAGCCCTGCCATTTGAAGGGGTCTCTGTGCTTACCAAGACCTGCAAATAAAAGGCAATTACGAATCAGAATTTTTTTTCTAGGAATGCTGTTACTTTATTTTTCATCAAAGAGTCCAGGAGCTATGCCTCTCAGTAGTCCTTATTGTCAAACCAGCTTTTGAGATGTGGGAGAAAGGAGTCACCTGATGACACTGAGGGGAAGAAAACATTATTTCTGTGCAGATGTTAGGGTCGCAGGAAACCCTCTGTCTTTTTTTCTTTATTCCCAAAAAAGCTTTGTCAGAGAACTTTGTGTAGATGGGACAAGATACTTGTGTGTTGAAGTGCATTTCCTGGGTGGAAGGAAGGTGTTTAGTTTGCCTTACACAGGGGACATTTCTGGCTCAGATTCTGCACAGCCACCGGACTGTTGGTGTTTGTAGCAGTTCATGTCCGGGTGAGTCAGAAAGCCTGCCGAGCGGCTGCACGCTCTTGCCCTGGCAGGCAGAAGGCGAAGCCAGGCCAAAGCCTTGCCACTGGAGAAGGCAGAGCTACTGTCAGAGCACACGGTCGGAGGTGACCTCAGCCACAAGACATGATTTCTCTTAGTCCTCCAGATCTCTTAGGTGTCCAGGAGAACTGTCAGGCAGCAGGAACCCAGCTGATTTCTTAGTTGTGTTAAAATAGGAGCAGGCGTGAGTGTGAACCGTGTGCTGGTGAGTGCTTAGCTCTAGGTTTTACAGCTGCCGATACTTTGGATTTTATTTCAAATACTGGTAACCTCATCCAGAGCACTGAGTGAGTGCTTTTAGGACACAGGTTTTTAAAGGTGAGATTGGTCTGTTGGTCTGTGTACATTAAATGACTGAAGTGATTATTCTGGTTGGCGTAGTTTCAGAAGCGATTACCTACTGGTCTAGTACAAGGAAGTAAAAGGATAGTGGCCAAATAGGTGTTTTGATAAGGCTCATGTAGCGAGAAGTCATTTGGCCAAATAGGTCTTTTGATAAGGCTCATGTAGCGAGAAGTCACACTGCACATTTTCTTAGGCATAAGGGTAATGGACAAAATATTACTCATTTTTTTTTGTTGCTGACATATGACCAAAGAATAAACAAGATTGGCACTGGAAGCAAATGCATAAATGACTGCAGTATTTGGCAGAGTATTTTGTGCTATATGTACAGATACCCAGAACTGCATGTGAAACAGCAAATACGATCAAACAGAAAAAAAAAAGGAGCATCCAGCTCGAGATGTGGTCTAATTTCATCATCACACAACACACTGAGCGGCAATTGCACGAGGGATGGTCTTTTGTGTTCAGTCATGTACCCAGGAACAACATGTAGGGTTGCAGTACTATTTTCAAGACAAGATTACAAAAAAAAAAAAGAAAATAAAAGAAAAGCAAGACTGATTGATCAAATTATGGCGAAATTCCTAAGTCTATTATAGAGAAAGGAATTGATATTCTGGCCTTAAACAGCACTAGTGAACAGAAGATGCAATCAGTAATTTAATGAGTCTTTGGAAAGAATAATAACATGTGTTGTATGTAACCAGCAAGAAAACAAATTAACTCCTTGCTGACTGACACAAAGTCAATGGTTACTGAAAATACTTTTTTTAAAAAGCCAAAAATATTGTATTGCAGTAACAGTCAGGAATAGATTTTGTTTGTAATACATGAAAGTGCTAACTCAATATGAAATGCCTGGGTTTTTCCCTATTGACTGAAAAGGTCTTCCAGGATATTTGTGAAATAATGCCAGGGATTGTTTTGGCCTCATGTATTTTTTTCTTTCTTTGCGGGTTTTTTTGTGGTTAACTAAGATACATTAGTGCTAAGATCAAATTTTTAAAAAAAGAAAACAAAACTGGCTCATTACCTCCTTGGGTTCATTACTGAGCTAAAAGCTGATCATGTGCATATATTTAATCAACACTAATTATAATTTAGAAGTGCTTCTGTACCATCCTGAGATATTCCAGGGCATAAGGCAGCCCCAAATTTCATCCAGAGACACAAGTCAGCCATCAGTGGATTAAAGAGCCATTTACCTGCAACTCATTTGATTAGCAGACCTCCTTCAGTTATCAGCATTTTTTTCCTTTCTTTTTTTTTTTTTTGTTATTGAAAAGTAACTTTGTTTCACCTTTTTCATTTTTTAGTCAGCATTGTGACTGTCTGTTTTTGAGAGGGTTAGAAGACTTGTCCTGAAATTCAGGTCACAGTTTGATTCATTAACAGCTACTGAGGACTAATCTTCCTAGGATGGGAGTGTTTGCAAATTGGCTTGAACAGGCAAATCCATGTCCTGCCGGACCCCAATTTTTCCTTTCTTTTTTTTTTTTTGTTATTGAAAAGTACTTTGTTTCACCTTTTTCATTTTTTAGTCAGCATTGTGACTGTCTGTTTTTGAGAGGGTTAGAAGACTTGTCCTGAAATTCAGGTCACAGTTTGATTCATTAACAGCTACTGAGGACTAATCTTCCTAGGATGGGAGTGTTTGCAAATTGGCTTGAACAGGCAAATCCATGTCCTGCCGGACCCCAATTACCCCGCCTGGGCATGAGTTTACATACGCGCTCTACCACGTATCTTGCAAAGAAAAGACAAAAAGTTTAGAGGTGCGTCCCCGCCATCACATCAGTGAACCGCTGGCTTTTGAGAAGTGCCATTGCCTGCCTGACAGTGACGCTCTCTTTGCTTGGTCTCTGCTCAAGTCCACAGGAGCCCAGGTGCAGGTAGCGGGGGACATGTTGCCAAACTCGACGGAGCGCGCAGTGACTATATCGGGTACTCCCGACGCCATTATCCAGTGTGTGAAACAAATATGCGTGGTTATGCTGGAGGTAAGTGAGTGCTTAGCATATCGCCTCTCACTCGGGGGATGCTCACACACATGATTAATTTTCAGTTGCCCTGGGTTCCCCAGGGGTGCTGCCTGCCCTTCCCGTGCCAGGGATTTCAAGAGGACTCTGTTAGACTGTGCCCTTTCCGCTGTTTGAGAGCCTCTCGCAGCAGGGTTTAGCAATCAAAGAGCAGGGCTGTCATGACACTGTCAAACAGCAAACTGGGTTCAGCATGGAGCTGCAGCCCGTTCTGAGAGAAAAACATTTTATTCTGATGCAGAATAGGGCAGAAAACATCTAGGTCTTGGTTTAAATAGAAATAATTCTGACTAGCATAATTTAGATTTAGCAGGACTTTTTGCTTCCTTAGGGTCAGGTCATTGCATAAGGCCAGAATGTTTAATTTTGACGGCAGTTTTTTAGCTCCTAGATTAAATGATACAAAATTAATTCATATAAAAATCTGGGCATTTTAACCTTTGCTGAAAATGTCCATAATTTTGTGCAAGTACATTTCTCAACTGATTAAATTGAATAGAATTTTGAAAAAAAAATATTTCAGCAAATCAAAATTAAATATTTTGACCTAGTAACCATAATTTTTGACAAGGAATATGAAACACTTCTGGTTTTATCACATTTTCCGCTGGAAAATTTCCTGTGGTTTTTTTTGGTTTGGTTTGTTTTTTTACCCAAGTCTAGTCAAGAGCTGTCTCATGATGATCTCTGACACCCTACTGTTCTGTTATTCTTTGAAGAGGGGAGAAACAGTGGAGTGTTTGAGACAGCACCACTGCTATTGGCTGTTCAGAAGTATGCAATGCATCAAAATGACATACAGCCTTTGCATCAAAATGTCATACAGCCTAATGAAAATAAAAGCATAAAAACTAATAAATCCCCAGTGTTTTACTGGGGAAAAGTGTCTCTTGCTTCAGTTTTTCCTGGACTACTGTGAGGAAGGAATTTCTTTATAAAAATGCAAGAGAGCAGAAAGATAATATTAAAAAATAATTTTAGTCTGTTAGAGATGGAGTATGTGATGGCAATAGTTATCAGCTTTGTGAATACAGAGTGTAGTCTATTGTCCAAGTGACTTCCGTGGAATAAATAGTTATTTGCTAAAGAAGATGAGAGAAGCCGCTTCTCAAAATCAGAGAGACACAGTCCTATTTTCCCACAGGTGGAGCCACTTTTTAAATAACCAGTTTTGACATAAGAAGTATTTAAATTTAGCGTTAGACAAATTGCAAGCAGCACTAAGAAGACACTGGCTTAACTACAATTTGCTGCTTCGAACATTTAAGAAAATGAATGTGCTCTAATTTGCAGCATATATTTAATTTGGCAACAAATTGACATGAAATAGCTAATTATATGATATTAATTGATGGAAGTAATATTGTTGTTACCTTCTTCAGTTGTAAGTTATTGCACTGAAATCAGGGCACCATTCTGCTAGGTGTTGCACAGACAGCTTGAAGCCTTTGTTACAGACACATGCTCCTGCTTGTGTCATTTACGAGGAGAAAGTCAGCCTCAGTCAGGGGTTTTCCCTTTGGGTCCTTGCCTTGGGCTGCGGGGAACAAACTCCCTTTTCATGCATTGCGAAGGCTGAGGTTATGCTCCTGCTGAAGCCGGGAGGATTTTTCTCCAACCTTCCAGCTCAGTCAGACGAAAGGCAGGATCAGGCTGGTCATTCGCAATTGAACAGCTGACTTAATTGAGTCGGTAAAACAAGAAACCTTGATGTGTAGCAGTGTAGGAAAGATCGATAAGCAGGAGATGTGCTCTGTGTTAACAAAGCGAGAGCACAGGCTGGACTCTTCCAAAACATCGACGAATTTCAAAATTGTGCCCCTGTTTCCTGAAATGCCTTGACATGCTTAACGAAGCTTCATAGCTTCATCCGACGATGGCGGTAATGAAGCCACGAGTGCCAGCACTACCTGTTTCGGCTGTGCGGTTGGGACCTCGGCTCTTCCCCTTGAAGCCCAGACAACCGGTCTCCAGCCTGCTTTTGGGCTGATGGGGGTGGAGGGCAGGGTGGGGTGGGCTCGGCTGGGTTAGCTGTATGCCTTGTCTGAGGTGACCAAGATAAGGCGTGATTTTTTAATATGAGCTCTACTTCATTCTGCATTTTGATCGCTTTGTGTTTTTGTCTGCAGTCCCCACCCAAAGGTGCCACCATCCCCTACCGTCCCAAACCTGCCTCTGCACCTATCATTTTTGCAGGTGGCCAGGTAAGAGCAGACACCATTTTGGCTTCAGCTGGAAACCACACCGTCTTGGCCCAACCTCAGCCAGCGCCTGTTAGTTTTCAACTTTTACTCTTTTTTGCCTGGTATAGTATTGATGTGCTTTGTCTACTCTGTGTGCTTACAGTCTGCAGCAAAGGAGAACACTGCATTGCAAACTTGACACAAAATTGTGATGACTCGTATTTTACCATGATTTAAAATTGACTTCTGTAATTAGGAAAAGTTTGCCCTTCTGCAAATTGAGAGATGTCCAAATCAGATGCTCCCTGAGTGGGACAAAACTGCTTATTGTAGGGGTTGGTTTTTTTCACTCTTAACTTGTAGCTCCACTAGCAATATAAGCAGTTCTGTCAATTTTCAGAGATGATCAAACAGCAGGATGTCTCTGCTCATGAAAGGCATAATTTTTCTCTCATAGTTTTCATACTTTTTAGGACCAAATAGTGTGTTTTGCAGTAAAAATTTACACACACATAATTTCTGCTGTTTATAGTTCCTTAGGATCAAGTAGTAATGGCGTTCTGATGTTACAGGAACTACATACATGCAAGTGTAGACCTTCCCAACCATGGCGTGCAACAGCCTGATTGATAACACAAGAACAGCATTCCTGTTTCTTTTTTATATAGTGAAGTTTTGATGATTCTCCCTTCATCTTAAGCTATATCGGCCAGGGTTCTCATCTGCCTTTAAAACCCCATGTGCAATGTGACTCTTCCTTGCCTTTTGATAATGCGCTGAAATGGGTCTGCAACGTGCCACTGAGACATGGCGGGAATTTGCTCTGCCATCATCCGTTGCAGGGGGAATGCAGTTTTAGAAACTGATAAGCCAGCAATGAATGCAGCTGATATGTACCCTAAAAACACCATAGGAGGCTCACAAGGAGACCCATATAGCCAACAGGCTAAGAGCAGCACTGCCCAGATATGTGGAATGGTGGAGGAGTGAGATGCTGCAGGCCCTGCCCAACTCAAGGGGAAACTGATCTCCTAAATCTGGCCTAGAGGAAGGCAGCCATCTCTTTACTCGGGATTCACGTATGTGAAAGCTCTCTGGCAGTAGGGCACCCCCAACCAGCCAAGTCTTTTCCCCAAGATGACAGCAAGGCTTCTTTTTAAGTAGTTACCCAGTGGGAAGAGCCACTCACCTCCATGGTGGAACATCTGCAGGCAGGTTCCACCTCCCATCCCATTAGCCCGGCCCAGGTCATCACCCTGTCATGGGGTGTGCGGTGTGGGCTGCTGTGCCAGCAGCCCTAGAGGCCATGTCTCATCCCAGTAGGCAATTCGGAGGTCGTATGAGAAGCTGAACATGGGGTTCCTGGTGGGGCAGAGGGCACAAGGTGCTGCTAGTATTGTTGGCGGTATGACGACCCGCGCCACCACAATCTGCCGGTTTGTAAGGAAGCTCCTGCACATCTCAAGCATACGCCAAAGCGCCATTGCTTCTGACAGGTCCTTGTAATGAGCTTTCTCTGAATTTTTGTCTCAGAGTTTTACTTTCTGCTCTGTAATGATATGTTGTGATGTATACCCAGATTTTAATAATCTGGATGTAGTAGCTTTCAACTCCTAGTGTTCAAGCCTGCCACTCTTAGTTGTCTTCAAAATAAGAAATCTGCTTCCTTAGTGACCAAAGTTGAATTGAAATTTAAAATAATTTGCTAGAAATTGGTCTATGACTGAAAGTTCAGAATAATTTACTTCACATATATAAGTTTACACTGCAGTGCTTTCCTTTAAGAAATGTGTGTACGTATGCAGCAGGCCATGTTACCAGTATTGTAATTGCCACTGCCTTCAAAGACTGTCTCTGTATATGATTACTCAAAAGTATTGAAACCGTTTGCTAGAGTGCCTTGAGCAGTTTGTATAAATAATTGAAAGTGTCCTATTTTAAGGTCTAATAGCTCTTGTCGTCTTCGGTTTTATCAGTTAAAAAAGTGTTCTCACTTTTCTAACGCAACCTTGTTGATGTGAGAAAGAGTGTAAGAGACAGACACTTTCTTGGGTGCTTTGAATTTCTGTGTGCTCTGACTAAGCAGACTTTTTAAGGAAATGCTTAAGGTGTGTTTGGGCATCAGTATGGAAAGACATTTTAACCAGGTTTCATAAGTGGAAATTAATACTGAAAATAAAATGTTATCAACAGCGTTAATTCTATCCAACCTTTTGGCTACACTATCAGAAGTTATTTTTCCATTCTAAATTACATCATAGATATCTTGAAAGGTTTTGGTTTGTTTAATGCTTGCATATCAAGCAACACTGGCAAAATCAAATTTCTAGTTTTCCTTAACAAGTTGGGGTACTTCTGCTTTGAGTATTGCTTTTAATTCTCTTGTGCTTCTTCAATACTGTATTGCATGACAGAACTAAAAGGAAGCTGAACACTGTCCTGCCCTGCTCTGCCCCTTACCAATAGTTAGCATATGCAGTGATTAAAAAAAAAATAAATCCGGCCCTCCTACCTGATGGAAACAAATTGGAAATTTCTACCCACTGTGCTACATTGCTGTTTAGATGGGTGCTTACAGGGTACAGCTTTGCTTTATGTCTCATAGCAGTTTTATGGTTTAAATTGAGGAAGATTTGTACACCAGGTCATTCCTGCTGTTACTAATGTCAGTACATCAGTAGGAAAATTGCCCTTGACTTTGATGGAAGCGGACCCGTAGCTCATGTCCTTAGTGAAATGTTACAGTACAGATGTCTCAGTAGCCTCTACCAGGCTCGTACTTAGTATGCCTCAGCCACAGAAGGGCACAGTTCCTCTGCCAAGGGGTAAAGCAGTCAAAGGCAGTTTTTCTCAGTCTAAATCAATCAAATGACCTTTTGGGAGCCTAAGACATGAAGAGCTTTTTTTTTTTTTTTTTTACTGGGAAAGAAAATTCAAGACCCATCTTGTCCGTGCTGCTTTGATGGTTTTCATTGACAATCAAATAAAGGCCAGTCTGAGCTCTGAATGTTCATTATTTTTGTTATTTATCCAGTTTGTTTGCTTCCTCATATGTATACATGGAAGTATGAGGGAGCAGGGTGATGAAGAAAGGGGTGACTTCCATTAGGTTCGCTGGTGATTTTTTTGCGGTGGTTCCTTGATGGTTTGCAGACCACTGCTTGGGAAGCGCCCATGTAAAAGATGTTTTCTCAGCTGGGTTTGAAGTAAAGCAAAGATCAGAAAGGACACTTGTGATCCAGCACAGAGGCTCAGAGACCAAAGCGTGGTTTCCAAACCCGCTGTTTGCTCATGGACCTAAGCCCCCGCCCAGCACCTTCCTGAGGCTTCTCCTGTGCTTGGCTACGCACAAAGCCCTCACTCAGCAAAGCAGCGTAACATCTCCTTAAGGTTGTCCTCATTTGGTAAAACACCTAAACACATGTTTTGCTTGCTTGAATATGTGCTTGCTTAAGAGCCACTGACAGCAGTGATCCCCTGTTTTGGTGAACTGGAACCTTTTCTTGTCATTTATAAATTTTCTGTAATGGCCATCCCCTGTAGATGCACATATGTATGCCCACGAGCATCCCATTGAGCCCAGTCACACACACTTCTGCCTGAAAACAGCTCATGTGCATAATGTTTGCTGGATTGCAGCCTTGCTTTATAACTAATTTAAAAACTAAATGAAATGTTTCTTCTCCAGAAGGGAAATTCTGCTGCAGAAATATGCATTAAGCAGTTGGGGCATTAAAGGTTTTAAAATCCGAACTCCATAAAATGAATTGTTTTATCATTTGCAGAGGATTCATTACTTTCTAAGAGGCCTTTTGTCAAATAAGCATTTTGCAAACGAAGCTAATCAACTCTGTTCCTGTTTGTAATTCTGCCACCACAAATATTTATACATTATAATTTGTCCTTCTGCTTTCCTGCCTATCTAAGCACAAGCACATTAAAATTTTTCTGACATGCCGTTGCATTCAGAAAAGCCCTACAGGTTATAACAGAAAATTATAAACTCTCTGTAGTTTTTTCTTTGTAGGCCATTACAGAGAGTTGAACAGAGCCAGCAGCAGAGACAAAGGGCCATGCTAACTAGTGCCGAATATGCCACCGTACCCCTCCTCGCTCATGTGCTTTTTTTGACTCCCCCACCTCATCCCAGTGCTGCCAGGAGTGATGCTAGAAACTATACCCCTTGCACTGCTCTTGTGGTGCAGAGAGGCTGGATTTGGAGGGGGGATATTTGACTTCTTGGGGAAGATAAGACCACCACGCTGTGGGACTCCGTCATGCTCCTATCTCCAAACTGGCATGCTGGCCCTGTGCCCAGGCACTGCAGGACAGGCTGCCATCAGCACGTGTGCTCACATACCAGCTGGCATGGCAGCCTGGGGCATGAGTCTCGTGGGGTGCACCAGGGCACACGTTTGCTGGCATTTAGCGTCTGTGGCTGTCGGTATCCAGAAGAGGTGGCTCAGAGCTGCACGCGGAAGTCAGGAGTTGGATGTCAGGGCAGGACATCCCCCAGGAGGGTCTGCCCCATCCTTGCTGCCCCAGCATCAGCATCTCCCCGTGTACATCAGTGGCACTGGGTGGAGGGGGCAGCAGGGAGGGGAAGGGACCACCCCCCATGCTCCTCAGCCTCTGTGGTGTCCCCAGCTCTGCTCCCAGCAGACGGAGCTGGGCTGAAGAGGGGTCCTGAGGACTGGGGTCACCAGAGCTTGGACGGTGGCAGTTGGCATCCCCTGCTTGCAAAGGGTGCGTGGGCAGCCAAGCTAAGATCTTCCTGTCCCATGCCAAGTGTTATCAAGCAGCACAAGACAATTAAGCTTCACTCAGCGTTGAAAGCGATGCAGGCAGCATTTGCCTGGGGAGCCAGGGGGAGCTTTTCTGATGAAAACAGGAACGCTGCTTGTCCCACCTGACCGACCTGTGTCTTAACTGTGCTTGTTGTTTTCAGGCGTTCACGATTCAGGGGCAGTATGCCATCCCTCATCCAGACGTGAGTCCTGCGCATGTAAATTACTCCCTTTTTCTTCCTTTCCCTCTTATTTGTTCTGGGCAGCATTTGCTTTCTGCAGTTAGCAATAAAGACACGGCCTAAGGACACCTTTCCTGAACAACACACTGTAGAGCCACGTGTTAGCTCAGCTGCATCTCTCAACTTCCGTAATAATTGCTAGAAAGTACAATGGCCCAGGAACAAATGACAGTTATCTTGGTCTTTCTTTGCATGTGATATATTTGAGTTCTTTTAATATGTAATTCTACAGTAATTAGTTAATATTAACAATAGCCATTACATGTAATAACAGTAGAGATGTCATTTATAACCAGTTTGGGTAGTTTTTTTTTCCTCTACAGTAGATTAGAATGAATGATTAAACCTTTTTTTTGTTCCAATATAATTTTAATTAATCCAGTTTTAGAACATGTAAGATGGTTTCTCTGCTCTGAAATAATTCCATTTGATTGGTTAGTTCTAATTTCCCATCCTGCCCTGCAGTTGACCAAGCTTCACCAGTTGGCTATGCAGCATCCCCCCTTTACTCCCCTTGGGCAGACCACCCCTGGTTTCCCTGGTACGTACCCATGATCCCCTGGGGATGTCCTTCTTCTTAACAGCTTTGTTTCCCGTGGTCATTACATCATTTTAATAATAAATGTGGTCAATGACCAGCAATCCTTCTGTTTTTACACATTAATCTCTGTTCTCCCACCCCCCCCCC